AAAATCCACGGCCTGACAAGTTGCTCGCACAAGTTATCTTCAGTAGCCATTTTTACACCTCTGCCTTACAACCTGTCTTCAAAAACATACCAGGACAAAATAACCTTTTAAAGTCACAGCATCCTCACAAACAAGCTGCCGAAGGAAGTGGTGGAGGCTGGTACAATTACAACATTTAAAAGGCATCTGAATGGGTACATGAATAGGAAGGGTTTAGAGGGATATGGGCCAAATGCTGGCTAATGGAACCAGATTAGTAGAATATCTGGTCGGGATGGATGAGTTGGACCAAAGGATCTGTTTCCGTGCTATACATTCTATGTCTCTCTTTTCTCCCCAGATTGTCTCTCTAGCTGTCTGATTGACAGCTGCCAATTGTGTGAGGTGGGTGGGTTTGCGTTAACTGAGGTGACCAGGCTCATTGATCGATATGTGTCGTTGACTGATGAATACCTCTCAGGCAGTTTCCCCAAATCCATAAGCCAACACCAAGCGAGCTGCTTAGGCCCAGGATCCACTCAGCCAGGAGGCCCAAATGGCTTGGGAGCATGTTGCTTAGCAACAACACTCCTGCAGTGTCACGCCTGGAGAATGTAGGGTCAGGTTAAGGGGGCCCGTTCATTACAAGCTAAACAATGTGTGTGTGTGCACACGTAATCCAGCAGTAAATCTCCAGTGGGGAGGGTCAGAGGGCACTGTGTTACCTAGCAACAGGAACAACTTTTACTGGAAATCTTAGGCCGGATTATACAGCCTGTGGAAGTCAGATTGTTTCGGGGGATTTTCCCAGTGGTTTATAAATGCAAAGCTGCAACTGAATAGCAATTCTGTTGAATGTATAAATTGCTTTGCCTAATTACTTAATTTGGAACATTGCACTATTCTGAGAACTGCATATACAAGCTGCATTAATTGTCAGGAGTTCTCTCATCAGTACTGTGGAGGTAGAATACATTTTCTGCTGCACTTGACTGATGGGCTTTTATAACAACCAATGATAGTTTCATGGTCACCATTAAAGTGACTTAGAGTCATGCAGCATGGAAACAGACCCTTCGGTCCAACTTGTCCATGCTGACCAGGTTTCCAAAACTGAACTATTCCTATTTGCCTGTGTTTGTCCCATATCCGTCTAAACCTTTCCTATCCATGTACTTGTCCAAATGTCTTTTTAATATTGTAATTGTACCTGCCTCTACAACTTGCTCTGGAAGCTCATTCCATACACACACCACCCTCTGTGTGAAAAAGTTGGCCCTTGGGTCCCTTTTAATTCTCTCCCTGCTCACTTTAAACCAATACCCACTAATTTTGAATTCCCGTACTCTTAGAAAAACATATCGGCTATTCACTCTATCCTTGCCCCTCGTGATTTTATAAACCTCTATAAGATCACCCCTCAGCATCCTGTGCACCAGGGAAAAAGAGTCCCAGCCAATTCAGCTTCTCCCTCCAGTCCCAGCAACATCCTTATAAATCTTTTCTGTACCACTTCTAGTTTAACAACATTTTTCGTACAGCAGGGAGACCAGTACTGAATGCAGTATTCCAAAAGCGGCCTCATCAAAGTCTTGTACAACCGCAACCTCACCAAAGTCTTGTACAACCGCAACATGACATTCCAACTCCCATACTCAATGCTCTGACCAATGAACTTGTTGGAGAGAGTTCAGATGCGATTTACAAGAACATTTCCAGGGATGAGAAACTTCAGTGATGAGAATAGATTGAGGAAATTGGGACTGTTCTCCTTGGAGAAGGCTGAGAGGAGATTGATAGAGATTTTCAGAATCATGAGCGGGCTGGATAGAGTAGATGGGGAGAAACTGTTCCCACTTGTAAAAGAAAGAAGAATGAGAGGAAATGGATTTAAAGTGATGTTCAAAAGAAACAAGGGTGCTGTGAGAAAGGACTTTTTCACCCAGCGAGTAAATGAATAGGATAGGCTGGGACTTTTTACCTGAGCATTTGCTGCCCAGTCTACCAGTGATCAGCCTATGGCACCAATTGCAGGGGTGCCCTCTGTGCCCTTCAATCTTTCATGGGCCCTGGCTAATTCCCTGGGAGGGGGTTAGCAGTAGCTGGCTCCCACTATGTGCCCACCTCCATTCAGCCCCAAGCTGTATCGGCAACCTCTGCCCACAGATCGGAATCAGAGTGTGGCCCTCGCTGAGATCTTTAACCAGCTTCATTAGCACGTGAAAAGAGT